AAACCCATGACAATTGTTTTTATTAATCACAGCTGTCAGAATACGTTTAAAATAGTTTTGGGTAGTTAAGGTTTTCAAAATGGGTAGAGGAAAGGTTATTAGTGAGAAAATTCGGTTACTAATAATTAATTTTTTTAATTCTGGGAAATCAAACTCAGAAATTGCAACTTTGTTAGACTTATCGCGGTACAGTGTGAGAAATATTGTTAGAAGATGTAACGTAACTGGTTCAGTTAATATTAAGCCACGATATGTGAAAAAAGTAATATCACAAATGCTGACCGAAGAGCATTAAGAAGAATAATCGTGAAAAACAGGCGTGCCAATTATTTACAATTAACTGCTCTGTGGAGTGACGCTGTTGGAAGGAGAATTTCGATATACACAACTCATAGAGAGGCCCACAAACTGGGATTTAGCACTTGCAAGGTAAGCTTTCTTATAAAAAAAAGTGAATTAAAAAAGTTGCACAACTGCTTTATAGGCCAAAGAAAAGCCACTATTAACTCCACTGCAAAAGAAAAATCGACTTAGATGGGCTAAAGAACATAGACAATGGACACCTCAACAATGGTGTGCAATACATTGGAGTGATGGGGCCCGATAATGTACCACTATTGAAATGGGTTTCTAGCAGTCCAGATCTGTCACCTATTGAAACTTTGTCGCACGAGATGAAAACGATTCTACGACAACATCCTGCTCGTACAATCACCGAACTGAGACAAAAGCTTCAAGAAACATGGGATTGTTTTACACCAAATTTTTGCCAAAACACTATGCCCCAAAGAATTTCAGCCGTAATAAAGAATAAAGGTGATGTTACCAATTGTTGCTTTGTTAACTTCGTGCATTTATTCGCACATTGTTTATTTGTTCTCTCTGTTAAAGGATTCAAGGTAGTTGGTTTCTGTTAGAAACTCATGAAAAATATACTCGTACAAGGACTCACAAACATAGGCGGTGGTAATATCAGTATTAATAAATTGATAATCCCCATTCTATTTTAAAGATTAAGTACGTCGCCATGTATACTCCAAGTACACAATGACTTTGCTTATATCCACTTAACGGCCAACGGCGTTCTGACTAATTCGGCCTCTTCTAATTGGTCGAAACTGCCGAAATAAATCCTTTGATAAAATCGTCGAACCGCTTCAAGTGGCCTTTTGTTTTTTCCTTTCCCGGCATCTCGGCACATTATACCGCGACTTCGGTATATTCGGCTTAATAAATCCATTTATACTCTATTTACACTGATAGTGCTTAATTTGGACTGATTCCCCTTAATGGCTTGGATCTTGTGATGTGTGATGGGAAAATAAGTTATATATGTATCCTTCAAATTGACCGTACTCGTTACTCATCGGCGTATCCAGAGAAAACGTCAAAACCGAAAGAATAGCGAGATTTTGTATGAGATCCTATATTTTGGGTAAATTCTTTTGACGGTATCTTTAAATTATCACTGATCAACAGCCAAAAAATATCCTAAATAAAATTAACAGAATATTACTATTTTTAATGTGCTAAAACCGGAATGAAACTTATTTTTTCAATATTAGTTCATACTGTAATTCACAAGAATGCACGTGCTACATTTTTATATTCGGCAAGGAAAGATGATGTAATCGGCATGATTGTGTTACGTTATACATACGTGTACATTATATTGTTTTCTATTAGCCATTTTTTCCTCAGTTGGCTGATAGCGTTCATGCAAGATGTCTCGAAAGTGTGTAAACAATCCAGATCAGTTTTGTTACGTATGTGGTGATGTGACTTTTGCGTCTCAGAGACGGTCTATTACTCCACTAATAACAAAGGCATATCAGCTTTATTTCGGTTGTAAACTAGGTGATCAAGACAAACAGTGGGCACCCCACGTCTGCTGTAATACATGTGCTTCAAGTCTGAGGAGCTGGTTAAATGGCAAAAAACGGTCTATGCGCTTTGCTGTCCCAATGGTTTGGAGAGAGCCTACAAATCATATTAATGATTGTTACTTTTGCATGGTACCTTGTGTTGGACAAGCCACAGGTATGTCCAAAAAAAAAATCGGTTATTAACTACCCAAACATTCCATCTGCGATGAGACCTGTGCCTCACAGTGACGAAAATCCTATTCCAAAACCCCCAAATCCTACACTTGCGAATCAGAAAACGAATCAGATCATGGCGATCGAGTGATTCGTTAGGAAGAAGATATGCCATCAACGTCAAGAGATTCTGATTTTATACCGAGCACGTCATGCCACCAACCGCACAAAATAACACAGTCAGAATTAGATGATCTTGTAAGAGATTTAGAACTTCCAAAATGTAAGGCAGAGTTACTTGGATCAAGACTGCAGCAGTGGAACTTGTTAGAAAACGATGTTTCGGTATGTGTTTTTCGTAAACGCCACAAAGACTTAGAACCATTTTTCAATATGGAGAATAACTTGGTTTTCTGCAGTAACATTAACGGCTTACTGGGCTTTAAATATAAACTATAACCCAGAAGAATGGAGATTGTTTATAGACAGTTCAACATTGAGTTTAAAGGCAGTGTTATTGCATATTGGAAATATTTTACCATCTCTTCCTGTAGGATATGCAGTTCACATGAAAAAATCATATGACGATATGAAGTACCTATTGACATGCATAAAATACGATGAGCACCAATGGCATATTTGTGGCGATTTGAAAGTTGTTGCACTTTTACTTGGGCTGCAGCTAGGCTACACAAAGTTTTGCTGTTTTTTGTGTGAATGGGACAGTCGGGCAAAGGCACTTCATTACACCAGACAAAACTGTCCTGTTCGTCAATTAATAGAGCCAGGTCAAAAAAATGCCATTAGTAGATTCGAAAAAAATTTTATTACCACCGCTGCATATCAAGTTGGGCCTAATGAAAAACTTTGTCAAGGCATTAGATAGAGACGGGTCAGCTTTTCAATACCTGCGTCAGAAATTTCCAAGACTAAGTGAGGCAAAGGTTAAAGAAGGTATTTTTTGAAAACACTTTAACAGGTATTGAAAAAACTGCTTGGAATGATTTCCGTCTGGTGGTCACTAATTTCTTGGGAAATAGAAAAGTTGACAACTATAAAACCCTTGTCAAAAATATGCTGTCATCGTATCAAAAGATGGGCTGTAATATGTCTCTTAAGATACATTTCCTACACTCACACCTGGACTTTTTTCCTGACAATTGCGGAGCCGTAAGTGATGAGCACGGCGAACGTTTTCATCAGGATATTTCAACAATGGAAAAAAGGTACCAGGGAAAGTGGAATCCTTCCATGCTTGCAGACTACTGTTGGACTCTTGGTAGAGATGCTCCAGAAACGATCCATAAAAGAACAGCAAAAAGACAGCGCATATAGTGATTCTTATAAGTATATGAATCTTGTTACTTTTTTTAATATATCCTTAAAAATAAAAAGTTTTTTTTCTAAACCGCAACTAATTTTTTTATTTCAGTGTCATTTTTGGATTCAGCGCCCCAAAATTAACAAAGAAGTGCACTTTTCCCACAAGATACAATTAAAAAACTAAAATTTGTTGTCCAGTGTTATTTCCGAAAAATATTTCGATAATTTCAACTCCTTCTGCTGTGGAATATACCATGGTTAATTTATGTAATAAAGCGTTACAAGTTATTTTAGCTACAAAGCTTGGTCAAATGAATCGCAAACTATGGACTAAATTCCTATTTAAAATAAGTACGAGATATTTCCTTATCTTTCTTCAAGAAGATAGAAAACGCTCCAATAGCTATTTTCAACAACAAAATGATAAACAAACGATGGGCGTAGTCAAGAAAAGCATTTACCTATCAAGTAAATTCTTTTAGTCAAATTTCTTCTGACAGTAGTACAAACAAATCTGATGTACCTATTAAAGTCTACTTTAAGCTTTAAATAAGTAAATCTTCAAAACTACTGAACTGAAGCTCGTGTATTTTACATCATTATAAAGGGAATTGGAATACCTTCAAAATAAGGTATCACTCGACACCCCTTTCCATTTAAGATTTTAGGGTTGGTGTCAGCCCCGCCCAGGGGGCTGCACGTGTTAACGTGATTTTTTGCCAAACTTGTGTCCCCCTCGAAAACAAAATCGACGGGTCTGAGCGTTTTTCAAACAAAAACGAGCTGCCAGTAAATTTTAAGAAATATCAATAAACCAATTGGATTTTTCCATTGTCACACACCTAAATTTTGTTCCCGTCGGTTCGTTTTTGATTTTTTTTATATGAATTCAACAATCGATCACATGTTACATTTATTTTTTTGGTTATAAGGAAGCGTTTTTTCTGGTTTTTCATTTTTTTTAAGTAGGCATTGCAAGCTAATGCTTGACTTGACGTAAATATCGTGATAAATTTGTGCAAAATCGAAGCATTTAGTATGATTCCACCAGAAATGTTAAGTGATGTTTTGAATTCTACTGTTACTGATTTATAATAACGGCAACCTATTTGAACACCTGCTGTGAATAAAATAAAAGTAATGTCAATAATGTATTCTGAATTATGAATATAACTAGATCATGCATCATTTCATAAAATTTTGTCCCATCATATCCTTATGTACAGTACAGTAATCACATAATCTTACCTCAAGCATTTGTTTGCAACGCCTATTTAAATGAAATAAAAAAAATACACATACACTCTATAACTAAGAAAGCAAATGTAACATGTGATACATCGTTGAATTCGTAGAAAAAGATTCTATCAGGTACAGCTGGTACTTTTTTTCAGACCATATAAAAAATAAAGTTGATGGTCGGGCACAAAATTTTAAAACTCCATCATGTAGTGCCTAAAAAGTGGCTCTTTGAAATTTATTGAGTCGGAAAAAAATAAAAACGATTTTTCCCAAATACCTCAGTAACCGTTGACAATTTGCAAGTATCCCAACGACATGTAAATGCGCCCCAAAGAATTTTTTCCTAATTTCACCCAAGCTGTATCTCACCCCGAATATTAATTTGAAATATCCTACCGTCTCTGCCTTTCGGCGTAACAACCGTAAAAGCACTACTGCTCGGCGGACTGGCGTCTGACACATTCACTTCAGGACTACCAGCATTGTCTCTAGTCCCACTGCTATAGTCCAATGGCATGGGAGCACCGAGTTCTAACGCCATTTTCGAAAATGCACAATCAAAACGAACCAACGCAATACATATCGATTACTCAAACATCGACATAGAACTTAAAAAAGTAAGGGACGTTCTTTTGTCAAACAATTGAATCGGAACAGAAGGCGTATCGATGTTGTACTGTTAAACAAGTGAACGTATTGGCGGTGAAACAATTGCAACCGAATCAAACAAAGCACACGTCGACGTTTTCTTGTTAAATAAATGCCAGAGCTTTGACGGTAAGACAGTTGAATGTCGCCCGATTAAACCCGACGATAGAACGCGTACTGTCCGACTAGCTGATAAGCTTCCAGCAAGCTAGGATGCGGAGACTGCCACTCGGGATCGTTCCTAGCGACTTTGGTCTTTCGAGCCGGATAGTTAGAGGCGTGGGAGGGGCTTAAGGCTACGCCACGCCCTCTATCGACGATCAAATTAATGAATGGGATGCCGAACGAGATTTTAATATGAGCCGGTTGGGGTTTTGATTAAACGGATCTCGGCTCGGCTGTGTCTGGCGAGCTGGGGTTTCTGATTTTTGCACTTGTCGGTGTTGAGCAGCAGATTGATTTTAGATTCGTTATCTGAATAAAATATTGGTTTAGAGGAATCTTTAAAGAGATATAGCTGTAATATACCAAGTGACATATAAATGATTGCACTGCTTTAAAGCCCTTCGACCTTTAATAATGTGTGGATGCACCCTGATGTGCTACGCATTCTCCAACGCGTCTAGGCATGCTTCTGATCAGGTGGTCAATGTCCTCCTGTGGTATTTCATTCCAGGCAACCACCAACTCCTCTCGAAGTGCTTCTAGAGTCTGAGGAGGACGTTGCAAATTGAGCAATCTCCTACCCATCATATCCCACACGTGCTCAATTGGAGATAAGTCGGGAGATCTTGGTGGCCATGGTAACAATGTGACATCATTATGTTGAAAGAAGTCTATTGTGACTCTTGCAAAATGGGGTCGGGCATTATCTTGTTGGAAAGTTGGATCTGCCAGGGTGTCAAGATAGGGTAAAAGATGGTGTTCTAGAACTTCGTGGATATAACGCTGCGCGTTCATGTTACCTCTGATGAAGATTAAAGGTGACCTGGAACCATAAGCTATAGCACCCCAAACCATAACTCCAACAGTGTGATGAACATGTCTTTCAACAAAAAACTGTGGATTCCTCCTTTCACCACGTCGCCTTCTAACCCTGGCACGACCATCGTGCATGCCTAAACAAAATCGAGACTCGTCACTAAAGACAATACTGTTCCATTCCTGATCCCAGAGTGACCGTTGTCTGCACCACTCAAGGCGATTACGTCGGTGTTCTCGAGTTAAAGGGAGGACCCAGTGTGGCCGGTATGAAAACAAGCCAAAACTTCTCATTCGTCGGTAAACACTTCGCATGCCAATAGGTCTTCCGTGTTCTGCAAACCATTCATTTGCAATGGACCTGGTAGTGGAGAAACGGTCCCTTAAGGCCAATAATCTTAGGCGGCGATCTTCACGGTCTGTTGTTCTACGGCGGTGCCCCTTGCTCTTTGCGTACGGCCTTCTCGAAGCCATGCCTGACAACACCTAACCACAGTGTCTACACTTCTTTGCACTCTAACTGCAATTGCCCGAAAAGAAAGTCCAGCTTCCCGAAGTCCCACTATACGGCCCCTATCAAACTCACTAAGTTGACGAAATCGTACAGGTCTCCGTACTCTAGGCATCGTAACCGATCGTAAAGGATGTCAAGAACCAAAATCCGCCAACGTTGATTCTTTACTGCGGTTGAAATATTCATTTTTAGAGCGTTAGTGAATTAAAAAAAAGCAGTATAAAAACCGGAATGTCCATAATGTGGAACAGGAACAATGTCGCGGTAGAAGCGAACCTTGAGGAAGACCCTCGTTGACATTGTGAGATCCATCAATTAGAGACAGGCAGTACCTGTTTAACTGACGCTTTTACGTCTCAATGCTTTGGTTAAGGAAAAACGCAAACTCTATGCTGTATTTGAACGTTCGCATTCAATTTCCATCGTTTTATGTTGCCAGGTATATAAAAACAGTTTCCATTTTCATTTTAAAGAAAACTGTTAATTTTTAAGCATGACATCGAAGTTCCAAGTTAAGATTTCTCCTCAACATCACTTACTGATTATTTCCAGCATTTCATGTTCCCAAAATTTATTATCGACAAAACAGCCTACAGGCATACTTCTTCTTATTTTCGGGCAGACATTTCTTTCAAGTAAGTTGAGCATCTTCTGATGGAATATGTTGATCAATGCTGAATCCTTGCTTCACTCACAGGTCTCATAGTGTAAAAAGCGCTTAACATCTCTGGCACCACAAAGATCTTGGCGATTACTCCTGCCTTGCTTCGTCTTGGCATGCTAGCCGTGGAAGGCTTTCTTTGAGAAGTTATCTTCAATCTACGGGACCAGCGTAGCCTTCATGTTTTGTTGGTTTTTGCCACCATGGGGTGGCGGGCGCTTGGGGAGGACTATATTCTTAATAGAGTTCCCGTTTCTTGGATAAGGATTTTTACTCCTCAAAGTAAGCTAGCGACACTGCTTCAAACTGATTGTCTGGGCTTGTAAATCAGCTGCCTCGTCTCGCAAGTAGGTGCAGTGTGATGTTGACGTATCGCTTCCCTCATTTTCTTTAACCTCGTTCACTTATTTGTCGATTATATATACGATCACTATGCCTTTCTAATCAGACTCAATGTACTTTCAACCTGTCTCCAAAAACCATTTTTGATAAAAACTGCCTAGATCCTCATGGATTTTCCAAATCCTCATTTATTCCGTCGACCATCCAAACTTCAATGCACAATCACTCTACCTCCCAATTTCCCGAATGCAAATCGAGACAGCCCTGTATCGTCAGGCAGCGTGTCGCTTATGCCTATCGGTAGGCGTGGCCTACGCGTCGACCAATAGAAAGCCGTCTGCCCCCTCCAGCTCCGCGTGCAGAGTAGTGGAGTCCAAGCCCGTCGGCGGTAGTGTCGACAGGGTTAATGGGAAGGTAATTGCCGATCCAAGGCGACTGGGGACGATGGGGATGATGCAAGAACCGCGGAATCAAGACCGATTTGAGATGATGAGCTGTAGCTGTATATTAAGGATGTTTTATTAGGTGGATTCGAGCTCAGAACATCAAGAACCGCTCCTCTATAATGATATTCACATTATGCAGTTGTAAAAATCAAATCGACGAGGTAGCAGTACTGTGGTACCAAGGCTCTGTTTTGCGTCTATTCAGTGTACATAGAACTAAAATTTCAATCACACCTTGTGAATCCCAGAAAACTGTGGCCAACACCTTTTTACGGCTGATAGGACATTCTTCGGAGTACGTTCGTCCACTGTTTCGACTGTTCCTTGGAATCTGGTGAGTACTAGTGGATGCATGTATCGTTGACGGACACGAAACGATGCAGAAGCCCCTTCAGATTGGGCTTAAACAGCGTTAAACACGGCTCTGAAGTGTAGCTTTCTCGTCCCCAATATTCCATGCAGGGTATGACACCCGCAGTATTCTGAGATGGCAACTGTCTCAGCTGTCTCGCGCATCGTGGATTTTCGTCACGTTATCCTCCGTGGTAGCCGTTTTCGGGGCAACTCCTGCATGGTTGTGGTAAATGATGAATAACAGTCAAATGTCTGTTGCCTCTTGGGCTAAATACAGTACCATATTCCACATCCTCAATTTACATCTATACCTGCAAAGGGAGAGGGAATTTATGCCCACTTCAAATGTTAATCGTAGAAATTCAGAACTGCGAACATGGAAGCAATCAAAACTTATTTATGGGTTATAGAGGGTAGACTCGTGGAATGGTCAGTCGAGAAATCGTAAATAAAATCCAGGCTCTACAGTTTACAGGGAGCAGAGCCGAACTCGGTTCAACTCATGATCTTACGATAAAAACTACGAGTTCCGTGTCTTTACTCAACTTTTTTTAGCCTACGAATAGCATTCAAACTCATGGAAAATGTTCTCTTTTAAAAATGTAAACGTTTTTTGTAAGAAAAATATGGAAAAGGGTCGAAAAATGGCATCGAGTAGGTTGGCTCTGCACTTCCTATCCTACGCTGTCATCAATTCAACGGATCAAGTCAGTCCAACAGGCTCATACAATTAAAATTTGCATATTTGCCATGATTATTCTTAGAAATTTGGAGCTCTTTGGATTTGAGAAACTGAGAAAATATGCTAAGAGACAAAAACGTGTATTTTTAATTGCTTAATCAAAAAACATAACATTTACAGTTTTTCTGTAAGGGGCCGTTCAAATATTACGCAAGCAGATTTATCACAATTATTTACCCCCCCCCCCATCCCCCTTGTCAGCAAAAGTAAGCAAAGCTCTTACCTCCTCCCCCCATGCTTACGTAAATATTTGTCTATTAATGTATTGTTTTTTTTAATATTATAATTATAACGTTATAATTATAATTTGAAAAATAATAAAATAGATTTAGGATAGGGATTATATTTTACTGATACGGAATTCAACATAGAGTAAAGAACAAAAATATTATATCTTACTAACATAACAAACTTATTTTAAATTTTTGGTACATATACGTATTAAATTCAAATTAACAATCTTCAGTCCATGAAACCCGAATCTATGATTATAAGTTTTCGATGACACTGGATTGCTTCGATTGCTGCTCAGTGTTGTGAGTTTGCTCGCTTTCATCGGATTTCGGAATGTCTACGTCGTTCTCATCGAGCCATTCAACATCATGGTGCTCTAAATTTTGAATAATGCACATCAGTTCATTAGCACGACGAGCAGTGACTCTTACAGGTCCATCTTTCCTATCAGTGTGCGTGTTTACTTTTTTATGGATATTTTCGATGTGACGATTTAGTGACTTGACGGAAGCATGATAAAGACCACACGTTTTGCATGTTCGACTTGATAGCCTCAATTTTGCAGGAAATCTTTGAGTGAAGCACTTAAGCGTAGAGCTAAATTGACTGGAAGATTAAGAAATTGCCCTCCTTCATCCAAAACCAAGTCATCAACTGTTTGTTTTACTTTTACAGGTGGTGGAAGAAACCTATTGTTTACAGTTTTTATGTAATACGTTAATTTTTTACTATGGATTTTTCTGCGTCTATCATAGGTCTGATTGTCTATCTCCGTTGCTCTACAAGGGGAACAATTAAAAAACCTTGAACCGGAACAGAAAATTAAAAATTAACATCCGCGCAGGAACCGAAAGCGCCGGAGCTGAAGCCA